CATGACCCATGGACCAGCCTGTAGTTTTTCTCTTCTTGTCGTTAATGTTGTCTACAACAGTTACGTGCACAGGACGGCGTTAAGGGAAGCCAACTGCGGTTCGCCGAGGTGGAAAATACACGTTTTTTGATCGTGCGTCGTGGAAAGCAAATATTTGAGTCTATGTATTGCTCGTTTCGAGGGGTATAATCGTAGCAATAACGATGATGGTGGTCGGTTGATCGCTCGTGTAATCAAAAGAGCTTAATGTGGAAAGTTTTCAGTGTCACAAATCTGTTTTCAGATAATAGGAAATTCATCTGGAGGTAGCCAGCTGCTGCGACTTTGTTGAATGTGAGATTCATATGCAGGTGCTTGTGTCACTTGTCGATTTACTTCCTGGTCCTCTTGAACATCTGCTGCTTTCTGTGAATCCCTGTACTTCGCTGCGTCTTCTTTAGTTCGACCTGTCCGTCTGTCACCACGTGTTGCTTGTTGCCATGCTGCAGGTTTGGTGTGGGTTGGTTGTTGTTTAACGCTGCACTCAATATCCCAGATATATGGCGGCCATCTGTAAATAATCGAGTCCGGACCAGACAATGCTGCGATCAACAGCATGAACATCGATCTGTACAAATGGGAACCGATGACATGTGTCAACCAAGTCAGCGAGCCTGACCACCCGATCCCGTTAATCGCTCTTATGACACGTATGGGTTACTGAAGACCAATTCTAACCCGGATCTTCACGGATCCATACTGCAGGTAAAACTGGCGGCGGAGATTCGGGGGATGGGTATCAGCACTTGATAGCTTTACCGCTTCCCGGATAGTTTTACCGCATTTATTTATTACAATTTTTAAATAATATCAATAGTTTTTATATTTACTCGAAAGTTCTTCCAAATAGAATTTTGTTACCCACTGTTGCAACATTTGTCAGATAAACCTCCTGTGAAGACTCATCTATCTATGATGATACTAAGGAATTTAAACGAGCCAGGATCCAGGACATAATCCCTCTGTCAGAGTTTATTTTGTAGCTGGTTCTAGGCTACTGAACGGTAATGGACGTCAACTATGCGCTATATCAAATCCGCAGACAGTTTTTCAAGGTACCTCTAAACGACCACTGCACCGGGTTTACGTGTAGTGTGTTTAGAAGAAAAACAACCCTGATGACTCCTCAGCTTGGATAAAGTCGGCTCTCCTGATAAATAAACCGCCTCCGTGGTGTAGTGGTTAGAGCGTCCGCCCGGAGAGCGGAAGGTCGCGGGTTCGATCCCCGACCGCATCATACCAAAAGACGTTAAAATATGGTACTTGTCGGTCCCTGCCTGGCGCTCGGCATTGATGGGTACAACAAGGACTGGTCGGCTCGGAGTCAGTATAATTTGTCTGAGTGGGGTATTCATGCTTCACTGCGGCATGGTATCTCCGTGGGCTAGCACTATAAAACCAGCTTCAGTCTTGGCTAGTACAAGCAGACGCATATACACATACACACGCATGCACGTCGTTATATGAGCGAAATATTCTCAAGCACGACGTTAAACCCAATTTCACCTCACCTCACCTCACCTGATAAATAAAACACTAAGACCATTTGCTGCATAGGATCTGTCGCTTCCCACGCGAAACGGTCAATGTGTGATTTTGCATCAAGATGTACATATGAATTTATCCAAATTATTGAGTGAGTGAATATGGTTTCTTCTCGTCGCTTGATTCTTCTATCACCGTCTTCCCCATGCTGGTCTTGACTCAGAGGTCCATCCATTGTACGACATGCAGAGGGCGTCCTGGAAATGACAAAATTCTTGGAATCGGTATACAGTCTCAGACACTTCCAGGCCAACAAACCTGTCATTGTCGTATATAATTGCATCTTCTATCCCGGACTCGATTCAGGGACAAATACATAGGTATGCTGACAGAATGACACGATGGTATCCAATTTGTTCGGCTTCCCACTGTTGTCTTCGTTTGGTGGTTACTAGCCTGTATAATGTCACAAGAAGAGTACCGATGATTTGCTGGCAGGTAAACAGCCCTTCTCACACACTGCGTAATACAGATGACTGCAGTGGTGGAAGTCTTCACTCCCTCCGAAACGTCCCTGTGGCTTCGACTTGGTAGTTCGAGAAGGCCCAGTGTCTGTCTGGGCTGCTTGTTGAGTAGCCTCTGAGTTTATGATGTTTGTCAGGTAGATGTGGGACTAAGGCCTTCAGTGACTCAGATGTCACACGTTTAACAATTTGTTGAGACGCTTGATCACGGGTAAGGTGCCAACAAACCTTGGACATAATCAGACAACATTAATATTGGACTTGAACCAACCATCACAGTTCTGTAGTGTGCCTAAGGGACGTTACTCCGTACAGCGAATTGCGACGCCTCAGAAGACTGGGCCAGACATGCCCTAATAATAGTGGGTGAGTGAGTTTGGTTTTACGCCGCTTTGAGCAATATTCCAGCAATATCACGGAGGGTGACACCAGAAATGGGCTTCACACATTGTACCCAAGTGGGGAATCGAACCCGGGTCTTCGGCCTCACGAGCGAACGCTTCAACCACTAGGTTACTCCTCTCCCAATAATAAACAGCGCCAACTCTTTAACTGAAACAAGACCAACAATCACGATGATGATCATTATGATCATCACCATCACCATCATCATCTTCATCTTCTTCATCGTTATCATCATCACCATCATCATCATCATCACCCATCATCATCATCACCATCATCATCATCTTCTTCTTCATCGTTATCATCATCACCATCATCATCATCGTTATCATCATCATCATCATCATCACCCATCATCATCCCGTGGTATCACACAATGATAAGGGAATGAACCAGGTGTTCTCTCACTCAAGTCGATATATCGACGAACTAACGATTGAAGTCGGACTCGCGTTATGCCATCCACTGAACACATTTAACTTACAGTTTATCCTCGAGTTGTTGACACACGCTGTCAACTGATCACACAATGATCGAACCCTGTCGTCTTGAACGTGCTTCGAGCCACAAGGAAACGAGCAATGAATCGAAATGAGTTATCAATTTTCTTAGACAGCGTTGAATAACCCGTCCCAAGTTACATGGCACCTTTGATATTAGGATCAGTGGGTGGAGAGCGGGCATTCTCGTCAAGCTCGTCAAGGATCGCATTCGCAGCATACGTGTTGTCTTACTGGAACATAGACGCCGTGCTCTGTCTTCGGGTGTATTTTGGAGCTGACCCTTGTATATTTGACCTTTTGACCTTCCGCACGTGCTGTATCCCTTGGGAAGATCTGTGGTATCCTTTATCCTCAAGCATCTTCGTATGCTTCTAGGTTCAACATTCTTAGCTTCAACGTAACACAAATGTGTGATAGATTTGTTCTATTTTCATCCTATTGCTTGTGTTGGTTACAGCAGGTTCTGTAGCTCACCTCACGATCCATCAAAGCTGTGTTTGCTTATACTGTTAAAATCAAAGCGTGAAGTACTTCTAAGCTAAGCAGTATTTCAGTCATAAAGCTATTAGGTTCAACATTTCTACTTTAATATTTCAACATTATAACATTATTAGATGAGCAAATTTGATTAGAGCGAATTAAACAAATTATAAATAATTCAATGGTATTAATTTGCCTACAAATATTTTATACGTTCATGTGTCCATTATGTTGAATAAGTCGGTCACGTCAACTTGTGGTCTAGTTTACCAGGTGTTGCAATCTGGTGGTAAACATTACCACAAATCATCGTTATTTACAGAATCCCGTGTTATTGATTAAATAAGTAGTCTATGAAGTTATTAGTTTTGACTTTGTGCTTAGTGCTGAAACCAGATTTATTTATTTTTTCCCCTTGACCGCAAAAAGACAAATAATGATCAATAATTCAGTAAGTTCAGTACATGTTGCCTCAGCCTCTACCGTCTCTTCTATGCTGATGGTACTTCGATCATGAATGGTATTATTGTCATCATTCGTATCATCATCATAATCACTATTCACTCATCTTCCACTGGGGCAGTGGGGTAGCCTAGTGGTTAAAGCGTTGGCTCATCACGCCGAAGACCCGGGTTCGAATCCCCACATGGGTACAATGTGTGAAGCCCATTTCTGTTATCCCCCGCCGTGATGTTGCTGGAATATTGCTAAAAGCGGCGTATACCTAAACTCTCTCACTCACTCACTCATTTTATGCCTCCGTCGTTTCCGAATGTGTTATTAATGATTCATTCGTGTACGCATGCGTTTCACTGATGCTATCTTCATTTGGGAATTCAGTCAGTCAGTCAGTCAGTCAGTCCACTGTGGTGCAGAATTTAAGGAAACAGACTTGCCCTACGAAATTTCACTAATGCTGCTTGTGAATGACTTAGGACATATGATTTTATTCGAAATATATTTCACAGCTAATTTTCCCTTCACAACAAACGGAATTTGTTTCTGATGAAGGCCTAGATATTCTTTTGCACTGACGTTCGATATTTCATATAACATATTGTCGACCAACCTATATCCGATATATTTAGTATGCTCTTGGAATAAACAGAGTGTAGAATTGATTTGTAATACCCAAATGTAATCTTCTTTAATTCAGAGAAGTTGTGTCTTTTTAAACCCGGAAGTAACGTTTTGTAATGCCAGGAAGTAACGCTCCCATACCTGTCAATAATTGCCGACAATACCCGTGTTCAATAACAATGTTCTGTTACCCGTAAGCAGTATCTTGTGATACCCTTAAAATGTCTTGTAATATCACGACAACTCTGTAATGGGATAAACGTTGGACAAAGGAGTGTGAGTTTAGTTTTACGCCGCTTTTAGCAATATTCCAGCAATATCACGGCGGGGGACACCAGAAATGCGCTTCACACATTGTACCCATGTGGGGAATCGAACCAGGGTCTTCGGCGTGACGAGCGAACGCTTTAACCACAAGACTACCCCATCGCCCCTTGAACAAAGGATTACGTATTGCATACTAAAATATTTTTCTTTTTTTCAGATGGAATTCGTTATGTAGTCTGGGAATAATTGCTGAGGTAAGTATTTTCTTAATACACGATACAGTAATGGCAAATTAGATGTTGAAGTAACTTTCTTTTGCCTGGCTGGCGTGGTGTTCGATTTAAACCCGAGGATGATTTTATCAGGATCGGTTTGATTACTGACGACAGGTTTACTTTGCCATATGCAGTTTTCATGGAATCTTTTATATGCATGTTGAACTATGTAAATGCAATGTATATCAATTACCTTCACAAAGCATATAATGCTTACATAATGTTGATGTAAAACATGTACATTAATTATTTCATAGTTTATAGTTACCCTATTTTGACATCATATATATACCATGCTGACATATTAATCACACATGCTTGACATAACGTTTACACAACGTTGATATACTCTTTGTCATAACATGTCTATAATGCGCGCCAGATGTGGCGTAATACACATCGTTCACATGATACACGTTGTAGAAATATTCCTTGCAAAACGTTTATTGATTCTTAAAAAAACATGGACATAATACTTACAGCAACATTGATATTATGACTGTGCTGACAGATGCATAGTTCTTGCAAAGGGGTAGATGTAATCCTTACAAAACATTGACAAAATTTGATATCACAGCGACGTTGTCATACCACATTTTCACAATGATGCAATGCTTACAAAAGATTGACAGATATTATACCACAGCTGATACCACGTTGTCATAAAACACAATTGTGACGTTGGCATAATACGTGCAGCAACGTTGCCATAATTTTACGTTGAGGAAAAAACGTGAATGATGCTCGCATAATGCTTTGCTGGCGTAATTCTCACACAACCATAAGTCAAAATTGGGATAATGCTGACACAATGCCTAGCAGCCTGGCATTTCGTTCACACCGTTGATGTGACGAAAGTATACCTTCACAAGGTGAAACATGTTTCGTTTAAGATCCTCATGACAAGATCTTCGACCATTGAAGTTTTAACCGAATGTATTTTCACGCTGTTAGTCCAGGCTAGCTATTCTCGAAACGTTCGTAGCCCTACGAACTTCTTAAGCCCATTCTTAACACATTGGCTACGATCAAAGCTAAGAACGTTTCGAAAATAAGGACCCAGGATCCACGGAACGTTCGTAACACCACTACGACATTAGTAAGCCCTAATACACTATATACTTACGACAGCGCTTAATTTTACGAACGGACCCGTGAAGGTCCGGGTTAGAATGAACCTTCAGTAACCCATGCTTGTCGTAAGAGGCGGCAAACGGGGTCGGGTGGTCAGGCTCGCTCTCTTGGTTGACACATGTCATCGGTTCCCACTTTAGGCACATCGATGCTCATTCTGCTGATCACTGGATTGTCTGGTCCAAACTCGATAATTTACAGACCACCGCCATATAGCTGGAATATTGCTGAGTGCGGCGTCAAACTAAACTCACTCACTCACTAACGTTACGAACGCTTTGGGGATCAGAACCCTTGACAGTGGCCTTAAACAATAAAACCTTTAATGTGGACATTTCTAATCCAGACATTCATCATTACGAACGTTTGACTATATACATAATTTGTATGAACTTGTTGCTAAGCGAGTGCTATATGCAATCAATATTTTAACATGTGTGACAGGTGTTACCGCCAGAGGGGATATGCTAACCCTCTTTTACGAACAGCTGGTGACATTTCCGATGTTAGACGGAATTAACACCAACTACTCATATAAACCATTTATTTTAACATCACAAAGTGAGCGAAGATAAAGCACCCGGATATTTGACTGTACACCTTTCATTCCAGTTAAGGGGCGGTGGGGTAGCTTAGTGGTTAAAGCGTTCGCTCGTCACGCCGATGACCTGGGTCTGATTGCCCACATGGGTACAATGTGTGAAGCCTATTTCTGGTGTCCCCGCCGTGATGTTGCTGGAATATTGCTAAAAAGAGGCGAAAAACCATCCTCACTCACTCCCTCATTCACTCAACTTCTGTTCTGTGTGGTATTACACTTTATCAGCCATTTGTTCAAAAATCTGTCAGTCACTTTAATCATTTTAGTTCCGCTTCCACCGTGAAGATCGCCATGATTAAAAAACACAACTAAACACAACTGCTCGCGAATAAACATGTCCGTCAACAGGCAATTTTAAAATCGATTTTCACATAAACATATCTCTATAACAAGTTATTTTTAAAAACGTATGTCAGTTATGCTGAAACCAAAATCGATTTCCTAATGATATGTTTTATTACTCTTCCATGCCAGTAATTAAATGACTTCCATGTGACTTGCTTCTGCTCGTCCGTTGCATCCTAGGATTTGAATTAGTCTTTAAGAGTATTTGGAGCAAGACTGACTGCTCATGTACATACGTCCTTCTGTGTCTCACTGAACCTGGACCGTGTCATTTCACTCAAACCTCTGCCATGTGGTTAAAGCGTTTACTCGTCACGCCGAGGACCCGGGTTCGATTCCCCATATGGGTACAATGTGTGAAGCCCATTTCTGGTGTTCCCCGCCATGATATTGCTGGAATATTGCTAAAAGCGGCGTAAAACCATACTCACTAACTCAACGCACTCACTCACTCACTCACTCACCTCACTCGCTCGCTCACTCACTCACACTCCTCTCACTCACTCACTCACTCACCACTCACTCACTCACTCGCTCGCTCGCTCACTCACTCACTCACTCACTCACTCACTCACTCACTCTATCTATCTATCTATCTATCTATCTATCTATCTATCTATCTATCTATCTATCTATCTACCATGCAGAAGCCAACAACGTAAGTCCAGGTTGTCCTCAAACGTCCCACCATGAATTTATTTGGTTCTTTCAAAATTACCTATCTTCAAAGACCGAGTCTGCCCACATTCCTGCCGAGGCAGTTTGGGTTCCATCTGACTTCAGAGTAAATATAGCTGAAATGGAAACAACTGGTTTATGAGTTTTAGTCAGCTGGCATGCTCTCGACAATTACTTTATGTCGTGATGGTACCCGTAGAAATTGTCCTCAAATTTGATTCGTAGAATGGAACTTTAGCTTGTCAGTTGAGAAGGAGACAAGTTCTAAGACAGTGGTGGTTAGTCATAGAAGATGTCGACATATTTGACTGGTAGAATGGAACTTTAACCTGTCAACCATCAATCTACTAATGTGTAAGGGCGGTTGGGTAGCCTTGTGGTTAAAGCGTTGGTCTGTCGCGCCAAAGACCCGGGTTCGATTCCCCACATGGGTACAATGTGTGAAACCCATTTCTGGTGTCCCCCGCCCTATATTGCTGGAATATTGCTGAAGCGGCGTTAAACCAAACTCACTCACTCCAACGAATGTAGTCAAGTGCAGAATCAGCTGAGTTTTAACAAATGAAAAGCTCGGTCTCCTTGATGCTTTATACAATACTTGTCTTTGATGCTTATTATGAAACGTCTCAACAACAATCACTGTATTACCATTCGTCAATGGTATTTTGTGCTACATATCCATGGTACCGTGTTCGCCCTGATCGATCATGTTAATTCTTCTCATGAGCCGAATTTCTTTTAACCTTCATCGACCTACATCAAAAAGCAACATGCCCTAATCACAGCTGGCACGCCCAACATGTGGATTTATGAATAGGTGAGTGAGTGAGTGAGTTTGGTTTTACGCCGCTTTTAGCAATATTCCAGCAACATCACGGCGGGGGACAACAGAAATGGGCTTCACGCATTGTACCCATGTGGGGATTCGAACCCAGGTCTTCGGCGTGAAGAGCCAACGCTTTAACCACTAAGCTACCCCACCGCCCCTATGAATAGGAAAACAACTATGTGCTGGATCATACAGAACCACAAATCAACGTTAATGACAGCTGTTTATTTCAATGCTCTGCAATACCTCGTAAAAGAGGTTTTAGTGTTTCAGATAAAAAAAAGGTAATTTTGAGTTTGACACGATATACTAGTCACGCATCTTGATTCACGTAATCATGCATGCAGGTACATATGTTAACCAAACAACCAAAAGGGCTGTTAATGATAAATTATAGAAATCTCAATGGGTTGCTAGGAAACAGGCTCATAGATACCTTACCCCGATGGCGAGATTATCAGCTATTGTTTTACTCCCGATCGATGCTAACTGACTTACCTAAAGAGGTCTAATTCACTAATGGCTTAATTTTCTGGTGATTAGGGAAGAAACATCAAGAGAGCTACATTTGCACGAGAGTTTATGTTAATGCATTACTTTTCAGTGAAATTCAAGTATGTTGGCAATGAGGATTGATTTCGGTAGAAGATGACAATTGCGATAACAATCCTAATTTATGATGACAAATGTTAAGAGCAAAACTTTTTCCTGAGGTTGACACTTTGATGTCAATATTAGAAAAGCAAGTGAAACATTGCTGTTTATTGAAAGGCTGTAAGCACGATATGCATCTCTTTAATATCCGGGGCGGTTGGGTAGCCTAGTGGTTAAAGCGTTGGCTCATCACGCCAAAGGCCCGGGTTCGATTCCCCACATGGGTACAATGTGTGAAGCCCATTTCTGGTGTCCCCCGCTGTGATATTGTTGGAATATTGCTAAAAGCGGCGTAAAACTATACTCACTCACTCACTCGGGACATCTCGTTACTATTAATAGTTTATAAACACGACACTAACCTATTTATTCAAATTTGGTAAACACGAGAAACATCTAGAAAGGATATTATTCTTTGAGGTTAACACGACGTAAACGCAGGTGACATCTCTTGGGAGTTAACATGGAGTTAACACATGAGGTATCTCTTTAACGTTAACACGAAGTACATCGGATATATCTCTATAATGTTAACATGGAGTAAACACAAACAAATATCTCTTTGATGTGAACATTGAGTAATGGGCGGTGGGATAGCCTAGTGGTTAAAGCGTTCGCTCATCACGCCAAAGGCCCGGGTTCGATTCCCCACATGGGTACAATGTGTGAAGCCCATTTCTGGTGTCCCCCGCTGTGATATTGTTGGAATATTGCTAAAAGCGGCGTAAAACTAAACTC